GACAAAGATTCAGCATATGGTTCTTAAAATCAGCAGCCTTATGCCTCTGTGGCAAGTGTATATTACCATGTGGCAGGCAGCTGTTTGCTATGACTGACAGCTTCCATTCATTTCCACACCAGACAAACAAAACAAAGCCCTATTTATTTTTTGGTGTGTCCTTGTCCCCCCATTTTTCCCCTCCTCTCTTCTTTCTGCATGCGAATCTAGCTGCCAAGTCCTTTTTAGCATTTGGACACAGTCCTGCATTGACAGAAAAGCAACTACTGAAATTCTTTTACTTCAATAAGGCTGGGTGACAACTCCAAAGATAACCACAGACCAACCTTTTTTTCCCTACTGCAGAACCCCTAAATCACATGGTAGCTTTATTTATCAAATAATAATTAAAACTTTTAAAAGATAATAATCAAATCAGTTTTTACTGGTACCTTCAAACAGTTGTATCAGGACGCTATTTAAGAGCAGCTATTTTTAGTTGCAACCAAGACTAGTTTCACTCAAAATAGACAAAATATGGAACCCCCATTTTGCCACCAGAATAAACACATCAGTTTACAAGTCCTGAGTTCTAAATCCAACCAACTTCTTTCCCCACCTTTCTTTCATATGCAGATATCCTCTTCCACAAAGTACAGCACATTCACAGGGACCAGGTTTAAGGCAGCATTTGGTTCAGCCAGGACTCCAGCCACTTACTGTAACTTTGCTAATACAAGCTTAATATCTGACTTTTTCTAAAGTAACAGGCAAGCGACACAAATTCAGGAATACTTCAGAAGAAAGTTTCTGTACCTGAACAACAGTAGTGTTATTGTTTCATAGCAATTTATTTTCTCTACATAAAGTCTCTTTTAACAACTTTACTGACATAAAGAAATAACCACATCAGTAGGTATACAAAGCCATTGTCCATACTATCTGTCTGAGGATAAAAATTTTTCCATATGGAAAAAAAAAATTTCCACTTATAAAAGATGACCTCAACTAAAAGAAATTTGCTCATGTCTGTCACCAGAGGCCTACTGTACTAGATTACCAACTCAGTAGGCAATGCAAAGGAGTGGCTCACAGATTTTTAACAGATACATTTGGAGGTTTTTGTTTGGTTTGGGCGGGGTTTTTCTTTGTTATGATTGCTGTTGTTTTCTGTTTAAATAGCAATTTATATGTTATTAAGGGTCATAGTAGAAATTTAATCACTGCCATAAAAATCACCAAATTCAACATGACTAGCATAGTACATTCTCAGATGCCATTTATATCCCACTTCCTTTAGTAAGAACTAAGACACTAACATAAAAAAGTTAAAGAAAAAAAATAGAAGGCACAAAAGGTAACTTAGACCAAAGCCATGAGAAGGGCAGGGCATGGAAAGGGCGGGGAGGAAATCAACCTCAAAGTTCTCGAGAAACAGTATAACTAGCAGAAGAATCAGTGGCAGAACTATTTCACTGCTTATTTTAGACGCCCCTGTGGCCCTTCTGCACCCAGTGCGGGGTCACTTGTGACGCTACATTTATATATTATGTACAGGACCAACCCCAAAGGGACAGACACCAGTGCCGCCCTCCCCTCTCGGGGCCGGCGGCCGGGGGAGGGCTGCGGAAGGGGCTGACAGCCCTGGGCGGGGACAGCCTCTCGCCTGAGGAGGACTGGCTAAGAATGGGCGAGGGATCCCAGCCGCAGGGCCTACACCTCCTCAGGGTAGGCCGCGGCCAGGCCGGGTGGCCACGGAGGCAGAGGTGGCGTCGTCCAACACGGCACCACAGGAGGCTAGGCCGGGCCCGGCCGGTGCCCCGCGTCATGGCAGGAGAGGCTGGGGGAGGCGTGCGCCCCCTCACCTGGATTTGCCGACGCCGCTCTCGCCAATGATGAGGATCTTCAGGGTAGTCAGCACGTCCTCGTCCATCCCGTCAGCGCGCCCGGTCCGCTCCGGCCTGACTCAACCCCGACCGACGCTCCCTGCGCAGGCTACAGCAGCACGGCCTGCGCCTGCGCAGCCTGCCACCCCTGCCCGAGCGCCCGTTCGCTGCCTGGCCTGCGCATGCGCCTCAAGTGTGCCAGCGGCGGGGGAGAGGCAGAAAAACATCGCCGCCCCGGCGGAGGGTGCATGCGCGGGGAGCTGGAGCCGAGCCGAGCCGAGCCGAGCCGAGCCGAGCCGAGCCGAGCCGAGCCGAGCCGAGCCGAGCCGAGCCGAGCCGAGCCGAGCGCCCGGTGTTTGTTTACCGCGGGTTGGGAAGAGGGGTGCTGCCTCTCCGTGAGGTGGAAGCCCTGCTCCTGCCCAGCGACCCCGGGGTGTGGGGCGAGGGGACTGCCCATGGGTGTTCAGTGTCTGTTGTTGTCAGGAATCAGGGTCGTTGGAGGAAAGAAATCGGATAAAATTGCAGGGAAGGAGAAGACTGGCAGCACAGTGGTAGCTGGGCAGCTCCCTGTGCCGGAGCAGAGCAAGCAGCCGCCTCTCGAGGAGACAGCTAGTCAGAAGCCCACCACCAAAAAAACCTAAGGGTCGTTTGATCAGTACCTCCTCCTATGTCCCTCAGAGTAAATGGCACTACATACTTTTCTGTCAGCAGAATCTGCCACCCTCCATTAAAAGCCCTAAATGCTCTTCTAAATTTGTTTCAGATGTTTGCCTCTTTATAACTAATGTGGCTAACATGCTGTCACGCTTGAAACCTACCTCAGGCCATGTGTAAGCCAGTGCAACTCTTAATCAAATGCATGTCTGATGTGGGTCTGAAATGCTCCTCGGCCTATGCTACAGTAGTTGGGCCAGCTGTTCACGTCCAAAGATGAACTCCATAGTATACGAAATGGCCTTAGGTTCTTGTGCACTCACACCGAATGAAAGAGATGAAGCCATGTCACAGTGCACAAGGCAGGTGTGCCCGCAGGTTTTGTCAGCGTGCTGGCTGCAGAAGGAACAGTTCTTCTAGCAGAAGCCTGAGTTTGCTGGGCAGTTGCCTTCAATCGAATTACAGGGTCAACAGAGTAACTGTTGTTTTGTGTCTGTGGTAAACACTCTGGTGCCTGGCTCCTTCCCCTTGCAGAATGTGATCTCCTGCCTCTTCTACCCCAGAAAACCAACTCCCAGGATAAGTGCAATAACAATAATTATCCTATTAAATTACAGAGGCATATTCTGTAATTAAACATGTGCAACTGCCTGGCTGTGTTTATGCCAGGACTGTGCCTGTTTATTAGTAATTATCAGAGTTTTATTGAAGGTGTGACTTAGTTTTCGTGGTTTGGATTGTGTTTTGCTGCCATACAAGAAAGCAGTATGTTGATACTCTAGTTTTTGCTGAAGCATATTGTAACTGTGGGGTTTTAGTGTGAAACAGGATAGGAATTAGAATTTGGAGAGTAGACCCAAACAGCAAAGTATTCTACTAAGGATGCTGAATCCCAGAAAGTGTTTGTATTCTGGGACTTGATTTCCCACCCCCCCACCCCCACCCCCCCAGTGTAACCATAGAATCAAGCTATTCAATATGGATATTAGTCCTGATTCTATACCTTACTCAGAATGAAAGGTTGGCCAGGATGGTATTCAGATTCTTGACCTTAATGATAAGCAGACACCAAAAAGCAGTCAAAGTGTGCCCTAACAGCTTATGCTATGGATGTGATGCTTTAGACCTTCCTAAGCATACCCTCTGAGAGTAGGTGTTTCTCCGTGTTGTCCTCCTTCACATAGTTCTCTCAGTCTGAGATTGGATCTGTGTGCTGCAGTCAATTGCCTGTGTATCTATTTTAAGTCTGAAAAGCCGGGCCATGTTGTACATTTTTCATCCCTATTATAGGAGGCAGTGGTAGTAGATGATAAAGTAACCCAAACCTAGATCCTTCAAAATAAGAGCATTATTTATTCACTGAAAGATGTGCAATAATCAGGGCAGAATCATAGAATCATAGAATGGGCTGGGTGGGAAGGAACCTTTTAAAGATCAGCTAGTTCCAGCGTCATTGCTACAGGCAGGGACACCTTCCATTAGACCAGGTTGCTCAAAGCCCCATCCAGCCTGGCCTTGCATCACTAGCCTGGCCTTGATCACTATCAATTCTTTGTAGTTTATTGAAGATGAGCCACATCTTGTTTACAAGAATCCTAATTTTACCTCCATATTGCCTTTTTCATCCCAAATGCGCTTGTTTTCCTGTTTAGCTTTTGTAGGGTTTCTTCAGTGAAGCCATCTCCAAATTGGGAGAGACTTGTTGGGAGACTAGTCTGCTGTAATTCTTGGGTGTCTGCCTGTTTTCTTGCGTGCTTTTCACTACTCATCAGGAGTCCTCACTCATGACAGCCTAATCCCTTTCTTTAATAAAGCAGGAGGTTCATTTTGTTGTTTTTTTTTAATTTTTATCATTTACTATCCCAGTGATCCCAGCCTCAGATGTGGGAGGGTCAAGCCATAACAGCTTGGTTAACCTCCTTGATAATTAGTCTTCCTAGAAGAATACTTGGAGGTCTTTTGACTGCATCTTTTTATGCTATGCTGTTTCCTCTTGATTTCTTCTCAGTGATCTCTGGATTTCTGGCAGAATGCCATCAAGCAGATCAATTTGTCTGCATATACATTTGTAAATAATAATGCATATACTTTCCTTATTGTTCATACACTGCTAAGGGAAGCAGTCTGATGGTAGGAAACTAGCATTACTTGTTCCAAGGCAGCTTGTCAGCATGTATGGAGTAGTATATATGTAAAGAGAATAAATTTGCACTTCAGGGTTACCTCTCATGTTTTTACAGTCTTGCATGGATGCTGCCTCATTCCTGGGCTCAGGGAAGTAAAAAAATGTCAGCTCCATCTCAGCTGGCACTAAATGTATGTGATCAATGTTTCTGAGGTTTTGATTACTTCACAGAAGTAAGAAAGAATAGAAAACATGTTAACAGTGATACTTCCTGTATTCTCAGCATCAAAATTCCCTGTCTGCTGTGTTACGGACTTGGCTATATCTTTGACCATGAAAACAGGTCATTGGGACTGAGTAACCGATTACCTTTCTCAGATGGTGGGGAATTGTTTACAGTCCCTTCCTTAGAGTTGGGATCTACAATTAAACAGCCATTGCACTTCATATGTCCTCAGGGGACCCTAGACCAGTTGCATAGCACAGTGCCCTTAGGGCACCACTGAGAGCAGGTAAAGGCTAGAAGGACCTCCAACCAGTTTGTTTCTGCTGAACTAGCTGCAGTGTGACCTTAGCAACAGAGAGAAGTGTGTCAGTAATGAGTCAGTAATGTAATGTGAGAGATATAAACAACAAAGGGTTCCCTAGTCTCATGCTGTGTCTGAAAGACAGCTGGGAGCCTTTGGTAAGTTCACTTGAACCATCTACCACAGCTTGAATATGGGGATAATGGTATTTGCTATAGAAGACTACAGAACCAGCAAGGGTGATATGCTAAGGGAGCTAAGAGTATGTTTTCCCTATGAGCACTGCCTGTGTTAGTATGAAATTCATGGTGGGAGACTGGCTATACAAGTGCATGGCTGTCCTCCTCTCTCCCCCTTCATGAATGCTATCACTAGTCAAAAGAGGCCTTGAAATGTATAGGTTCTGTTTAGGTTGTTTAGGTACACAAAAGTCTCAGGAGCATGCATGTCTCCAGGTGTCAAAGTCCTTAATTCACTGGTACTTTGAAAGATTTTCTTAGTTATGTCAACAATGCGCAATGCCCAGCAGAAGATGAGAAGCTCTGCCACTTCAGAGAGGTTGACAGCAACATATAGGTCTCATGTTGAAATGACTAATCCTGCTCTCCCATTTCCAGATTGTGAGGCTGACCCACGAGTTGTCATGGCAGTGAGTCAGGAGTTATGATTCACGGTGAAACAGGTATGATTGCTCAGCTCACCGGTCCCTCCTAGTAGAAATGACACACATATACATGCTTATTCTTTTTTTTCTTCTTCATACAGGAATTTCCAAACTTGTAAAAGTTATTATCTGCATATATGTTAGATTCAGGGAGGTTCCTTTTCTGTGTGACATCCTTAAACATAGTCAGCACATCCATAGGATTTCACGTTCAGCAAATGATAGCAAGGAGTGAAAGTGCAGCAGCAGTCCCAGAACTCTAGGCAAGATTTCTCTGGAGAGCACTCTGCAATCTAAATGATCCTGCTGTGGCTGGCCACTCCTTTTCTAAAGAATACAGCCTATATTTATGAAGCAGTTACACTCTGAGAAATTAAGATACGTTGCTTATAGTCAACACAGTTGTAAAAAGTGAATTACATACAGCATTGAGGTTGTAACAGACAGGAATCAGCTACTTGGGAAGAACAAGAAAAATAGTGGTTTCGACACTCAAAAAGCTAGGGTCAAATATGAAAGTGATATACTAGAACTTGTCAGAGAAAACCAACATAAGAAGGACATGGACCTGTTAGAGTGAGTCCAGAGAAGGGTCACAGACATGATCAGAGGGCTGGATCACCTCTCCTGTGAAGACAGGCTGAGAGAGCTGGACTTGTTAAGCCTGGAGAGGAAGATCCAGGGAGGCCTTACAGCAGCCTTCCAGTGCCTAAAGGGGGCCTATAAGAAATCTGGAGAGGGACTTTTTACAAGGGCACACAGGGACAGGACAAGGGGGAATGGCTTTAACCTAACAGAGGGGAGATTTAGATTAAATATTAGGAAGAAGTTCTTCACTGTGGGGGTGGTGAGACACTGGAACAGGTTGCCCAGAGAAGCTCTGTCTGCACCATCCCTGGCAGTGTTCAAGGCCAGCGATGGGGCTTGGAGCAACCTGGTCTAGTGGGAGGTGTCCCTGCCCATGGCAGGGGGATTGGAACTAGGTGGCCTTTAAGGTCCTTTCCAACCTAAACCATTATCTCATTCTGTGATTCTGTGATTCTATGTATTTGGAAGATCATTACCCAAGTCTTGCATAAAAATCATGAGTAGATTCCTGATTTTGTGCTAGAATAATTTGCTTACTGAAAATAATGCAAAAAGCTTAGTTGAATGCTTTGAAATGTTACTTTACAAGATGCAAGGTGGAACACTCAAGGGACAGCACATCTTCTCTGCTGGAAAATGGAGAAAAAGGCTAGCCACCTCCTATTTACACTGAACTTTGTCCAGATAAATTGATTAATCATTTAATCACAACTAATGCAAGCAGTAATCTTAAAAATGACAGCTTATCCTTCTGCATCATGTCATGAACCTTTAAGCCAAGCACAGCTTTTAAGACTGGATGACCCAAATATTCTTAAATGTCTCTAAAGCAGCCATTGAAAGATGTAAACAATAATGATAAAGAACTAGATTCCTGTTTAGGGTTGTTAGATTCCTACAAAACATTAATTAAATTCAAGTGAGAAAACAGCTTTTTTATATTTAAAGTACATATAGTGTCTACTGCACATCAACAATGAAAAGGATGACACAAGAGTTTTCAAAGGGTGCATTAAGAACAACAAAGATCGGATGTTAAAGCTTTTCCACAGCTTCTCTTCATATGCCCTTCATGAGCATACTGAATACTGGGTGCTGCGAATTGTTCCTTTTTCATGACTAGTATAATTGTATCTCGTGAAGCACAATATAGTATATATTTACCATTGAGATCAGAAGACAGAAAAAAAAAAATCATGGAGTATTTGACAGACCAGGTTGATCTGAAGTGTTTCCTCTCAGTCTTAATGAAATAAAAAGCAGTAATACATTTCCAAAGCTTACTATTTCCATATTGATTCCTCAGTTTCCTGAAGGCCACCTTTGGATTTCGTTTGGACTCCCTGTGTTGGTGGGAGAGCTAAAGATACGTTTCGTGAATATGGTAAACTTGATAAAAGACACACAGTAAATGTGCATCTGTCTGCAGTACCTTTCTGCTTTAGCAAAATCTGTGTATCTCACAAACAAGAGAACGTGGGTTCCTTCTCAGAAAGCAGCTGTTCTGAAAGAACTCTTCCCATTTTCGAAGAGGGTGTACTTCAAATGATTATTTTTTTTTGGGGGGGGGGCGGGGAATCTGGAATAACTTTGCATTTAATAAACAACATACTCATTTCTCCTTCTCCAGCTGCTTACAATATTTCACGTGGTTTTTGTTAAGGGGGGGGAGGGGAGGAATAACCCCTTCTCTACTGTGAGACATCTTATCAGTAATCCCCTCTGAAGGGATAACATACCTCATGTAGCATTATGTCGCATGTTCCTGCAGGATTAGCTGTTAGAATGGGATAGAGTGGATTAAGTAATCACTGCCATCAGCATCTTGCCCTTTGCAGAACTTTGTGTGGAGCAATCCTGATAAATCAGAGGATCTGGTGGGCAAAGGACAGACACAACATCAAGGCAGGGATTGCGAAGTAAGCTGGACAAGCTGTATTAAATCTGTAACAGTCAATGGAAGAAATGTTACACAAAGATGTAAATCCAAATGCAGCAAAACAAGAGCTACTATGGTAACCAGTTTTATCAAGTCAGAGCAAAGTCCATCTGTCATCCATGACAGAAGCTTTGCCTAGGCCACAGCATATGAACAGGACAAGCATGTAATGATACTTGCCCCGAATGTTACTGCAGACTTCAGCAGCTTGTGGCCCAGGACTTTGTGAGCCTGTAGTGATAGTGTCTTCATATACAGTAGCTGTATTTCTCTTAAATAATAGCAGTATTTCTCTTCACAGAAGAGAATTTTTCATCCATGTATTCTGAACATAGTCTTCTGTGGCTGAGTTGAGCAGGTTAACTACATATATATTCTTATTTTTGTTCTATACTTTCCCCCTGCTGCCTTAATTTGAATTCCCTTCTCAAATTAGGTGTGACCATGAATAACTGTCTATTTGCTTACTCTATGATTGCTTACTTATGTGATGTCTTACTTACCTGGTTTTGTAGATCTCCGTCATATCCTTCCATAGTTTTAACTTTTTCAGCAGAGAAATCATGATCTAGTGGATCTCATATGGAAGCTGTTACAGTTTTAATTATAGTATTATCACTTTGCTGTACGGCTGCTTTCCTGTTATATCCTTTTTCAAATGAGAAGACTAGAACTAGACAAAGCACACAAAAAATTAGTGCCTCTAGGGCTGAGAATGGAATGTTTACTGTTTTATTCTATGAGTGTTTTCTAATATTTTCTAACAGTTTATGTGTTTTATTGGTCAACAGCCCTGAGCAGATGTTTTCATAGACTTATGTATCACAATTATTTCTGGTTCCTTTACGTATTTATTCCTGTCCTTTTACTCCTACATAGTTACATTCTGAGTGTTCCTGCCATCAAGGACAATATCAATAGTCGCTCTTCCTCTTGTGCTATGTGTTTAGTGAAGAATTTATTTTTGGAATCCAAGCCTTCATTCCTAGCACTATGTCTAGACATGGTATTTTATCTAACTTACCTTGGAAGTAACAGAGGGTTTCATTATTAGTTGAGTTTCCTGTCCTCTCAGCCTCTCTGAGAGACTCACCATGTCCGAGAGGCTCATCATGTTGTTGTCCCTGTGATCGCCTTGGTCAGGTGGTCTGTTGTATGCTCCCAATTCTACATTGTTGTTGTTTGCATGTTAGATAATCAGTTTCCAATAAAGGAAAAGCCTTAATACTAAGTTATAATAACCATGTGGCTCAAAGGTTTCCCCAACACACAAGCTGGCTGATAAAATAGGAACATATAAACCTATGAAAGAAGCTATGTAGCAGTTCCCTTATAGTAGTGTGAATGTGGCAAAGGGAGGAAGTGGAAATGGGCATTTGGCACAAGATGGGCCATCTCTCTCTGGCAATACCTCCAGTAAATGGAGTACCTTCAAAGTGTTAACTCACGAACAGTAAGAAGAAGCACAGCGCAAAGAAAGTGGTGTCCTCCTCTCCTTCAAAAGCACATCTTATTTCATCCACTGACACACTCGGCAAAGGACCTTTGTTTCTGTGTCCAACAGAAGGCTTATGCCAAGGTTAGTGTAACTATGCTGTCTTTGTTCAACTTTCTCTTAAGCACGTTCCTCATTAGGTGGCCATGGCAGCATAATAACAAACACTGGGCATCATTAGATCTTCCCTAATAAAATCTGCAGCTCATCAGGGTTCTGGAAGGATTTTCAGTAGTGTGGTTGAGTAACTTTTGCACTTTCATCACATTTCTCTTGCACTTAGAATATGCTACTATTATGAAACTTTTTATCGAAGCATGCTAATAATCTGTTGCAACTCCCTTTTAAGAAGAGGTGTAGATAGTACTTCTTGCGATCAAATCTATAATAAAAAAATACAATGATTTTATAATATATTTCTATAATCCCTTTTCCCTGAGAGTTATCTCTAAGCTTTGTAGGAGGCTCTTTAACAATTGCAGAAGTGCAGCTCTTTGAGGTAGAAGGCAGAAACTGTGTAACACATCATCCTGGAAGACCAGTTTAGAAGAGAAAGCAAGGCAAAATACAATCTCTGTTTGAAACTGAAGCCAAAATGTAGATGAACAAAGTCAAAATGTAGTCATGTTAATACTACCCTTATATTGCTGAAAAAATTGCAATGGAAATCTACAGCTCATGTTCACAATCTTTTTCCTTCTCATTTGATAGAACACAGTGCCAGTAAATGAGCAAGTCTCATTAATACCAAGGTGAGGTACTGATTTCCTATTATTTCTGTATTTCCACTGCACTAATGCCTGGAGACTTTCATTAGAATGGGCCCAACTGTATTCGTTTCTGCAAAATCACAGGACTTCTGAAGTTGTTGAAAGAGAAACCTAGCCCTGCTTATGCAGGCAAGAATTTTCCTGGTAACATACTGAGTTTTTCTTGGTGGTATCTGTCTCCAAACAGTGATCAGGCTTTATGTCCTGGATGGCAACATTAAGTATAATCTGCTGTCATCTCCTCATGACAACATATAAGCCAAAACACTTGCAAACAAACCAAAATATTTTCTTCTGGATCAGGAGTTTGAATTAGATGACTGAATTTTCCTGGCATGAGAGGATTATTCCTTGTCTTTCACCTAATCCTCCTCTGTTATGCAATATATATAGTTACACACAGTTTTTTGTTTCCCATGGGTATGAAAAGATTACTTTTCCACTGGGTTTCCTGCATCACTGTAATACTTCCCCTTGATTCTCCGGTTTCGTCTGCTCAACTCTGTGTTTATAGTGCGTCCGGTAACCTGAATGAAGTTACAGTTTTCAGATCTGTCATTTAGTCTTTGGATATACTACTAGAGGCCCCAAGGTCTTGTATTCAACCTTTAAGATCTTTAGTTCCATTATCCGCCATCCATTGTGTCAAAGTAGTTTTTCCCACAAGCGTTTCAATTACGAATTGATGCTTAGTATTTCTAAGAACTTTAAAACCTTTGGTTTCCATTGAGCTTTTCATCTCAGGTCCTAGAAGCACATTGAGCTTTGGAAGCGCTTTTGTAGATCTTGTATTTATTTAATCCTTTGATCTTAGGTATCCTTTGCATTCACAGTTGTTTTAAAAAGATAATATAGGTTTAAATCATCTCCATTACATTTTGTGCTGGTGAGGCACAGTATGTTCACTCGTGTAAGTAGCAGGAAATTCTGAAGTCCTGTGATATGAGTCATTTCCTGTTTTCTGTGACCTTTTAATAATACATGCACCTTCCTCAAACAAAATATCTTTTCAGTGCACAATACCTGTGTCTCTGTCTTGACTAATATCTGGCAACTAGCATAAATACTTATTGCTATTGCATTTCAACAAACATGGTATTTGTCTTTTCCATTGGTAGACAGGGTTCCGTGTTTCTGAGGGCTTTTGAGTTTGTTTGGCTGTTGTTTTTCCTGTGAATTTCAGGTCCATAGTATTATTCAGTTATTAGTAGACAGTGCAGTGGTGCTTCTTCATCTTCATTACTGGATATAAAGAGTTACAGTCACTTCACATTTATTTCAGCTCCTGTCAAGATCAGTGAAATTAATCTTTTCTTGACTGAACTGTCAGCACGACAAAGTTTAAGTTTTTTACTTGCAGATCATTTCTGAGTTATACAGTCTGCTTCAATATGTTCACATGCAACTGTAGTTTGTGAAATTAGATAAATTCTTCATATGGTATTAAGAAATTACTAGATCTTTTCCATAGGGGGAAAAGACCTCTTGATGTTAAATTGTCTTCCAGGAACCTAGCAGCTTTTTATGGAACTTTTTAATCATAAGCTTTTGTTACTTTGAATCTATACATGTCATAAATACCTGAATACACACTCTGAGCATGAGAGGGTGTAAACTGGCAGCAGTCCAGTACCAGACCTCATGTTTTCATTCACTACCCGCTTATGCAGGGCTTTGTCCTGCTCCTGAGGAACTACTAATAAATCTCCCAGTGATTTTTGTATAA